CGGTTTTGTTTAAAAACAAACAAAACAAAAAATACTGCATGCATATTATTTCTGTGGAACTGCTGGAACAATCTGATGCTTTTCTGCTGGCCTCTCCTTCCTTGACTTGACTGTGTTGCTGCACGAGAGATTAAGAATTGCCTTAATAGTGCCAGCACAGGAGAAGTGTCAAATAGATATTTCTGCTCTGTAATTGAGAGACACATGATGTGAAATGACGATAATATTGTAATGCAGAGTACTTGAAAACTAATTTTGGAGCAGCCATTGAATCTGGATGTTTTACGATCAGCAATGTCAAGATTTTTAAGAGTTGCCAGTAAGGTTCACTGCATTTGTAATATTAACTGCATTTGAGAACACTAAGGAAGCTTCAGGGGGTTGAAGGAAAGATAATGCTACAAGATATACTGGATATTGCAGGTAGTTAAAGCTTTTCAGCCTTTTCTGTATTCCACATGAAATAGTTTACTTAAGATTCAGATATGGAGGAACTGAATAGAAGCAGGAATTTCACTCACTTAGCTAAAAATAGGTTCCTTTAAGCTGACTTGCAGTTCTGTGGTGAATCTCATACATTTTATAATCTAAAAATTGTACTTATTTGTTTGTATAAGGCGTTTTATTTGGCATGCACAACTTCTCCAGGAAAAACCAGAATGACAGCATGTGCAATGTTGTATTGATTTTTATTTATTTGTAATGGAGAGTCCCATTATAATTCTGAAGGGGGAATAGTTGCTGAGATGTGTTTTCTGGTGGTATCTTGGAGAGATTGTGTTGGCTTTAAAATGCTGTACCATTTTTATCAGTGATCTTTATCAGACCTTCATTGTTCCAGGTTACAAATGAGCTAGGATTAGTATAGGAGGGAAACAATTAACAGAGGAGGGCCTAAATCACTTGATGAAATGTGAAGAGTCTGGATTTTTAGCAAATGCAAATATGAACTTGAATGTATCTGAAGGGTTCTTTCCTTGTTTAGTAGTTTGGTGCCTTTTACACTTGTGAAGGACAAGACAGTTTCCTAGTCACTGCTGTGGTTGCTGCACTGGATGTTATGGACTAGCCTTCTCCAGCTGCGGTCTGCAGACTGGGTGCTTTCTGAGTACCTACTCTAGTGAGTAAGCAGTTTGTGCACAGGGCCACAGTAAGTGGTATTTTAAAAAGAAAATAATTGAAAATGCCGTCCAGTTCACAAAAGGTTTTGGAGATTAAATAGTACTATATTTCTCACACATACATCTTGCTCCCCCTTTGTTGCCTTTTTTTTGTTTGTATTTTGAGTAGTAGAGCAGACTAGTGCTGAGGTGTTGTAGTGACATTCTAGGAAGGAAAGATGTCTGGGGATTTAAAGTAACTGTTGCCTTTGGAGTTCCACAACAGAAACAATGTGCCTTTGGAAACCATTGACTAGAATGAGAGGAGTAGGTAAAGTTTTACCATTATTGGAATGTTGTCAGACCTGCCTGTTGTAGGTGCATAAATAGAGCTACTTGAGTGAAATATTTTATAATAGCAAAAGGGTCCAAGTTTCTGAGAAGCAGTGGTTCAGATTAAGAAGTGGAAGAGGAGTCAGGATACGTTAGATGAGCTCCAGGCTTTTGTACTTAGAAAGGGTTAATAGATCTGAGTTGTTCCTGAGTGTGGAGTGTAGAACACTTGCTCTGTTTTCTGGAATTGTTGTGAAAACCACTAGAATTTATCAGGATTCTGCAGGCGTCAGCTAAGACAAGATTTTAATGATAAGCTGAAGGGCTCAGTAATGACTAATGGTCAGAAAATAGCCCTTATGATAAAACTTCAGCTAAATATAATTGAAAAAAGGAGGATGGAGGGGTTGCAATCATAGGCTGACAGAAATAGATTTGATCATTTGATTTTTGATGGAGCAAACAAAGAACAGGATCCAGTGATTGAAAGAGCCACGTGAACTCATAGTGAAGGGATGAGTGTGTTTAAACTGGAACACTTTACAAGGACCACTCTGAATCCTGTTTCTAAAACTTTTGAGACTGCTTTCGTACTCACAGTTTTGTTAGTACAGACTGAGAACTGAATTGAGGAAGTCCAAACAATCAAGTCAAATCTTATACTGAACAGATGAATCTAGCTTGACAGTGCCACTTGCCAAGGAACCATTATACCTGGTTTTCTGCCCTTTGAGCTGTTTTCCAGAAGGCCACACAAGTTGATCATGAGCCTGCTGACCAATCTATCTGTTCCATTTCTAGGCTGAGGTGGTGATGCTGTGAAACTCCTTGGCAGAGCTTACTTCAGTTCTTATTTGTTATGTGTTTTTCTTTCCTAGGAGGAAGAGAAGTGACAAGTTGACCAGTAATAACTAGTTTGCCAACCAACTACTGTTTACACAGAAAATTATTTTATTGGAGCCTTATTTTGGTAAATTGTTCTTGAGTGACTTCAGTAGTTATTTGTCTTTCATGTGAAGGCTTTTGTGAGTCCAAGTTATACAGGTCCTTTTCAGAGGCAGGCAGGAATTAAAACCAAAGGCCTGTCAGCTTATGTCTGGAGGGAGAACATTCTTCTTGTTCCAGCAAAGTATTGATAGTTCCAGGATTATTTTAAAGTCTGATCAACTGCATATATGATTTTTCAAGTAAAGGAACTTCTAAATGATGTGTCCTGGTATTTTTTCTTGGAGTATTTGTTTTGAGCCCACTCACTTGTCCCTGTATCTCTATCACATACGTATGTGTGTATACTTGTCCTGAAGGTATGTTACCACCTGAGTTGGTATATATTTCCTTTTGGGCTCACTAGTAATTCCAACTATTACTTTGTAATATCCTTACAGCTCAATGTCTTATAGTTGGTGTTCTAGTAATTCAGTCTTCTACTCCTTTGAAATGTACATTGGGTGTTGGTCAGCAACAGGTTTTCTGTGACTAGTAATGTCATGATTGAAGTCTGGCCAGAAGAATCCTTCTTGCAGTACAGCTTTTCAGTAGGTGTGCTTATTTTATTAGGTTGTAGTAGCACTTGTAGATTCGGAAGGCATTAATTAACAGTCTAGTGAGATCAGCAAGGGCTTGGTACAATTCTGCACTTATCAGAGGTTTTCCTTGTTTTATTTTCTTCTTGAATATGCCAGAGTAGATGACTCCGGAGAAACTACTTTGTGCACTACATTACAGGCTGAGAGCAAGACCCTGTAGTAGATAAGTCAGTTGTAAAGTTGCAGCATCTTTCCAAAGCCTCTTTAGTGGTGGGTGATATCCATTAGTGTATCAGCTTCTCCAGGAAGGCAGCAGCACTTTGAGCACAGATGAATGACTACTGAGTGCTGCTTGCCTTTAGCTCTCTTCTTCAGTTGCTATTCGTCACTCAGGTGGGATATGTCTTTGCTTCTGAATCCTAGGCTGTGTTTTCCTGGGCTCATGTTGCATGATGCTAACCAGCATTGTTGGCATCCTGTGATGCATTGAAGTGATGTGCACTACGGAAAGCTGAAGCATGGGCTGCCAGGTGATGATGCCAGTAGTCTGTACCCATATGTATGCATGTGTAGGAAGATGGGTGCTGGAGAAACTTTTCTCCATTTTGTGCTGATACAGAAACTTTAATTGGAGATGTTAAAAACCATTAAAATGTTATTTATGTATTTATATGACCAGTATTATATTAATTAGGGGAATACATATTGGACTAGAAAAGTTTTAATTAAGATTGATTATTAGTGAAGTATAGTTTTTCCTCTTTAGAGGTTACTCCTTTGAGATTCTCACTGTCATTTGAAGAACTCAAGAAATACTTCAGAAGTTTACCCAGCTGTGGAGAGTAACTCCATAGCACTGGAGTTACTAGTATTCAGTGTCTGTACCTCCATGTAGCAGACATGACTTTTTTTTTATTTTTTTTTTTTTTAGGCTTAAAACTGAAAAAGCCATGAATATAAGCTGCTTTAGACTCAGCTATTAATTCTGATTTTAATTGGCCAATTGAATCAACATTCTTTAAAGATGCACGTATTTCCCGGAAACTTGATTTGGTGCTTTTTAGTGTGGGACGGTTTACACTTGCTTATTACGGCTCTTATCTAGTCATCCCAGGTGCCGCAGCTGCATTGGTATGCTTGTATACTTTGCCTTTTAAATATGGGAAGCTATTGTAATGTGAGGCTGTTGAGTTTTTTCCCTCCTGTGTCTGTTGTCCTCATGACAAACTGCATTTTGGTCCTCAGGTGATGAAAATTCTACCCCAAAGCAGTGGGGAACCATCACTTCTTTTCCACCTGCTTCCTTTCTTCCTCTTTTCCTTTTCTCGTAATTCCTTCCTTTGAGAAGGTAAACTGTCTTCCTCAGAACTGGGAATTTTTCTTATGAAATAAACATTATGTTCCATCAAAACAGTTAAATTCCTGAAAGTCAAGCTTTTAATCCTTATTTTCAGGGCTGCTTCTTATTGCTGTTCAGAAGCTCTCTTGGCTGGTCCTTTTCCTTGTATTCTGTGTTAGTGAGGTCCCTTATGCTCTGGTATTTCAAGCTTTCTCTAAGCTTGTGAATGGTTAAGTCACAATAAAAATGAAATTGTTTTTAACTTTGCTATTCTTCTGAAGTTCAAAGTGTAAAATAAAATCACTCTAGACTGATTTTTTTTTTTCTCTCTCCTATTTTCACTTTGCACAGTAGTAACACAAGCAGTAGTAAATCAATTTAAGTATCTTTACAATTGACTTTTTTAATGAATACTCTCAATAGGAGCTGTAGAGAAAAAAAAAATTGCTGTTACAGTGCAATTGTTAGGTTGTTTATTCCTGATCCTGCGTACCCTTTTTTCTTCAACATGAAGATCTAGGAGATGTTATTCCATAGTAAAAAAATCCCCAAACCCCCATACTTATTTCCATATCCAGATGGATTTCTACTTACATAGTGGCAACGCCTGTGTATGAGTACCATTTAAAGTGCAAGAACTTTTTTAATTACTTGGTCTGGATTCAGAACATAATGTGTTTTGATTTTTATTCTTTTCAGACTATGAGAAGACAAAGAAATGAAGTCGTTGTGGAGTTGAGAAAGGTGAGATGACTTAGCATTAGTCTTACGAAAAGGCTGTGTTCACATTTCAGTAGAATTTGAAAGGTTTTGATACAGCCTTAAAAAAACCCAGCCCAACTGTTGTGTGTTCTCTCAGTAGTCCACGAATAATACCGTTGTTAAACTATTTATTTGTCTTCACTAATTCTGTGAAGGTACTTTGGTTTAGAAGGAAATTCTGATGTTACCGTACCTTGTACTAGAAATTCCTTATTTTTTCTTCTAAACCTCCAGGATTTTGTAATCTATTGAAGGGAATAATACTTGCTTCTCCAGCTAGGTTTTAATTCTAAAAGCTTACAAAAGGGTTATGTCTTTTCCTTTGAAAATTGGATGTTCCTACTAATCTGTAGACAGAAAGCTATTTACTTTCCCAAAACAGTTCAATACACAAGTAGGAGTGGAAGAGTGAATGTGTGAAGGTAACACTGCTTAGAATTGTTGGAAAACTAGAAAAGTAATCATAACTTATTTTGTTCTCCTTCTGGGATGAACAGAAAACTGGCCCCTAGGAATTGCGTTGTCAGTGTCAATGGATGTGTGCCCATGAAACTTCCAGCAAAAATAGTTACTGTTGTACATGAAGTTGAGTGGAGGATTTTTCTAGGAAGAAGTGATTTCCAAAATGTGTTTCTCTGTGCAGTCCTTTCCTACCTCTTGAAATTTTGGAAATCCCTTTGGAAACCCCTTTGGAAATTTTGCCAGTACCAGTGAAAACGTGTTTGATGATTGTTTAAAACAGAAGCTTCTATTTCCTTCTTAACATGCCCCACACCCCCTAAATCAAAGTTTTGAAGGTATTAAATCATTTTTCTCTTTAAGAACAAAAGAGATGAGCATCTTCTAAAGAAGAGAAATGTTCCTCATGAAGATATTTGTGAAGATTCTGATATTGATGGTGACTTTAGAGTGGTAAGAATTTATTTAACTCTCAAGCATGTCCTCTATTTACATATTTAAAAAGCATTTTTAATTTCTGACTGCTTTTGTCTCTGTTTTCTAGCAAAACACTTCTTTGGAGGCAATAGTACAGGTAAAAAAATTAATTGTTTGAATATTCTTTGTGTTGTGGTGACAAATGTATGAAAAGTCTAAATTCTCTTATTTTTAGAATGCTTCGAGTGACAACCAGGGTATACAATTGAGCGCTGTGCAGGCTGCAAGGTAAGAACACTTTACCCAAATACATTGGTTTTATTCTTATTTTCTCATGCTCTTAAATTCAAAAATGTGTTCTAGCTTAACTAGAACAAGTGCGGCATTTACTATTTGTTGGTGTGTTTGGTTTGTGGTGTGGGTTTTTTATTTTGTTGTGGGTTTGTTTTGTTTTGGGGTTTTTTTGTTGGTATGTTTTTTGGTTTTGTTAGAAAACATAGAACTTTACAAGAAAAATCAAAATACTTAAGTCTTTGAAGTAGTCAGGATTTTCATTATGTATAAATAAATGCTAAGCTTTATTTTAGTGCAGTATTTGGTGGTTCTGTCAAGTAGAGTAAAATATGCAATTAGGAGGACTATAACGTCTTGACCTTTAAACACAAGAATTGTCATAATCCTTTTTCTAGTTTTGTCATAGATTAAACTTTTTGATTTAAGAGGAATTTTGTGTAGTTGTATGTATTCCAGAAGTGATCTTAAAATACTCTTAGGAGTTTTGCTTGCATAAATCCAGTATTTAATTGCTGTTTCACGAACTAGTGGGTGGATGTAGTAGAAATCTGTTTCTGTTTTGTAGCAGAAAGCTACAACTTTGCATTTGTTTACCATCTGTGGTTGAGGGATTTCATTCAAGTGCAAGGGAAGGTTTCCAGATTGTAGAGAAGTTCAGTGAATTTGGAATTACTTTGACTTTGAGAGTTACGTATTTAAAACTGATAGGGGAAGGACCAGTTTCTGTGCCTGTTTCCATTGGGCAGCTTGCCTTCACTAAAAGTCTGATCAACTCAGGGTAGCATCATGTAGAACATCCTATTTACTACAGCTGCTCTAAACTAGATTAGACTAAAGAACACAGAATTAAGCCTGACTTAAAATGAAATGGAAATGTTTGTGTGGATTTCTTACTATTGTAACTAGCTGTTTGGGTTTGTGGTTTGTTTTTGTTTTGTTTTGTTTTTTTTTATTTGAAAACTAATCTAAAACAGTGCAGTTTACATTATTGGAAAGGCATTAAAGTAAATTTTAGAGATGAAAACAAATGCTTCTCTGTCTTGATTGAATCTGCACCCTCCTTTGGTCTGAAGCTGGAACAGGAAAAGAAAACCTTGCCTGAGTCTAACCCCTAAAACACACAATTAGAATATGAGCAACAGAAAACTGATGAGAAGTTTTCAAATCAAAACCCAGACTAAACAAACACCACTGCCCGACCCACCTCCCCAAACCTGAAGTTTTATTTGGTTCTGATAGTAGAGTTCTCTACCTGTTTGAGCAGGTGGTTTGTGAATAGACTTCACTATGATTGTTTTGTCACTGGACAAAAAAATCACAATTTCTCATTGTGTGATTTAAGTTTTGTGTTTTCTCCTTTTCCTGAACAGAAAGCTGCTTTCCAGTGATCGCAATCCACCAATTGACGATCTAATAAAATCAGGAATATTACCTATTTTAGTGCATTGTCTTGAAAGAGATGACAAGTGAGTATTTCTAAAACTTAAAATGCTTTAATTACTACAAGAATTCTCGGTATTTAGCAATGTGTCTGTGGCATCTGTTTTGAAAACTCGTGTTACAATTATTTTTTTTTTTTTTTTTTTTTCCCCTTGCTTTGCAGTCCTTCTTTACAGTTTGAAGCTGCCTGGGCTTTGACAAACATTGCCTCTGGAACCTCTGAACAAACACAGGCTGTAGTTCAATCTAGTAAGTCCAACAGTATTTGATCATTGATAAAGCACACACTGTAGTTTCCACAGAAATAAGAAAGATCATCTGAATGATACTGTAAAGAGCATCCACATGCCTGTTCCTCTCGATCTCAAGCATGTTTACCAATCCACATGTTAGAGTTGGTCCCTTCATGCGATAGCCAGGATGGTTGAAACTGAGTTGTCAATCACAGGCACGTCACTGAAGGACCTGCCCATGAAGTCTCCTGCCAGGTGTTCTACCTCTTCTCTGGCAAGCAGCATCAGTTGAAGCGCACACCTGCTTTTGTTCTTCATTTTCTCAGATTTTAAATTCAGTTGGGTTTCCTAATGGTGAGTAATGTATTCTGGAAACTCACACTATTTTAGCAGAGTTGATGTCTGCTGGTTCCCAGTCTTCAGACTTAAACCCAACAGAAAGCTTGAAACAAAATCAAACAAAAAAACCCTCCTATGGAGGGATTTCCTATCTTATTGTGAAGAGGGAGGAAAAGATGTGGACCAAGGCCAGAGGGTGCCTGACACCGAACTCTGTTCCAAGATCAAGTTGAAGAAAACACGCTGTCCTTCATAGGTTGAGGAATATGAAGCATGGAAAGGAATTGTTGTTGGACTTGAAATCTGACTTGCCAAGCAAAGCAAACTTTCTTCTGCATCTAAATATGACCTAAGTCGAAGTAGTACTTCTTTTGGTAAAGCAGAACTAAGTAGAAATGTCTGCAGGCTTTCTGAATTGAATTAATAAAACAGCAGAGCTTCCTGAGACCTATGGAAGAGTCAAGAATACAGTAAACCAAGTTGTCTAGAATTTAAGGGGGAAAAAAAATCCACAAAATGTACATTATGTGAGATACCAGTAGTTTTAATGGTTAGAATTACTGTTGTATTGCAGTGCATGCTGCCAATACTATTAAACATGTTGTGCTTCCAACAATGAAAAGACACAGAATTATGCTTGGTCTTTTTTGTGTGTTTCCCCCCTCCCCGCAACATTCATATATTAACTTCTTCTTACAACTGCTTGGAACTTTTATTCCATGCAGTAAGTACAATTTCTAAGATACATGCTCGTGTTTGTGTTGGAATGTCAGTGTTTGTTACATATATTCCAAGCCTGATGAGTTTTTTTTTTTTTTCTTCCACTTCACTGATCAAAGATAATGCTGTGTTTTGGTTGTTAGTGCAAAGCAGTTACAACCTTATCACAAACTTTATATTTAGAAAAAGATAGGTCTTCAAAAGAAAGTTCTTAGCACCATTTTATCTGTTAAATGACCGGGTGTGTTTCAAAATCTTTAACTGGAAAAATTGCTTAATTCTCTACAATGGATGTGAAGGAATTTAAGGCAGGTGACTTGAAGTTAAAGGATTTTTTTGTGGTTTCTTTTTTCTTTGTTTTGATGGAATGTATGTTTTATTACTGCATTAGTTGCAAGGTCAGTTGTTCTTTGCTTTTGCAAACTCTCAGTATTAAGAACCTGTAAACTTTGATACAGCCTTGGTTTTAGTATGTATCTTTGCAAATAATTCTAATGTTCCATTTTCCCATCCTCCTCTTCTTTTCCCTGTTGCATCCCAAGTTTTCTTTTGGAAATCTAATAAATATATAATCTGTCCCACACCTCTGATCTAGAACACTTTATTTAAACCTATCTTACAAATGGATTGAAGATGAGTGCCAAATGTAGTAATTGCTTATTTTGGTGATGATTGACTTAGCTAGGTCTGCATTTATGCACTATATTAGCTAATTTAATAGCTATAGCATATGAAAGTATGGTTTATTTCTTTTAATCATGTATTTCAGTAGAAGAGATAGACTATTCCTCTATGTAAACATTTTTGCTAGAGAAATAACAAGAGATTACAACAGACTAACTGAAAATACCAGCCTCTCTTGAATATGTGATACAAAGTGAAAGAATGCTTCTTACAGCTGGTGTTAACAAATCATGTAAGCAAGCATCTTAGTGCTGGGGATAAAAAAAATTAGGATCAGTTATCTAAATGTGTTGCATGTAGAATGTGTTTGAAACATTGGTTTAGCTTTAGTTCTCGATACTGGGAGTGTTCTGTCTGACACCAACATAGGGTAGAAAAGTAGGTGCCTTGGTAACAATTGCAGAATTGTGTTTTGAATCCTTTTCTTACTGCTCAGTCATTGTCCTGTTGTCTGGGTTTTTTTTTTTTGTTTGTTTTTCTCTTTTTTCTTTTTTTTACGTGCCGTGCCCCCCCCCCCCCCCCCCCCCCCCCAATAGTAGTAGTATTTGAAACAATATCTTAGATAATAAATGTCAGATTGAGTAGAGTCAGAACTCAGTGATATAAAACTAGACTTCACACTGAGGAATGTATCTGTATTAGCTTTCAGGAGGCCAAGATGACTAGATTGGTGGAATCAGCTGCTGTCACTGTACACATACCTACATCATGGTTATCAAAAGATAACAAATGCAGAGTTGGAAATACTAGGGAAAAGTACACACTGACTTGGCACTTTGTAGTCATCTGTATGGGCAGCAGGGCTCCTTCTAGGGCAGTTTACCATGTGTCTGCTTGTGTGTGCTCCATCAACCAAGCTTCCTTTTGGTAGAGCCACAGGTGATGTTGGATCAGTGAAAGCATTGCCTGGAGCTCTGTACTGGCAATTTATACAGCAGATCCCTCAGTGGGTAACTTTCTGCATGTGCTCAGACTAGTAACTGACACATACTTCACTCCTAGTAAGCATGTAATGTGGGGATATCAGGTGCTGTAAAGTGGAGATACTGAAACAAATTTAAATTCCTGTCCTCTTATACCTTACCAGTCAATGTAGATGTAGTGACTCAGCTAATTTGAATGGGTGAGGTTGATCTTAAATGGTTACTACTTTGCAGTTGGTTCTGATTGATAACTTAGCATGGAGTTTCTAAATTCAGTAAATAATAAATATAACTAAGTTTCGAGTCCTGACAAGCTTCAGTAAACTTGAGACTGGTAAACAAATGTCAGGTTATTTTAAGAGATGCTTTCATAATATTCTGAAGTGTGGACTCTTAAGAGTGCAGTAAAGGAGGAACTATTACAGTGTGTTTTATTTCAGTATCATCTGGGAAATCTTTGGTACTTAACAGGGAGGAAAATTTCTCATGTCTTTTAAGAGCTAATTATGTGAACTGTTTTGTCTTTTAAAAGAGAGGTGTATTTCTTAACAATTGCATGGCGGTTTTTTTGTGTCTTTCAGATGCTGTGCCACTTTTTCTGAGACTGCTCCATTCACCACATCAAAATGTTTGTGAACAAGCTGTGTGGGCTTTAGGAAATATCATAGGTTTGTGTGATTCCTCCCACTAAAAACTTCTAATTTCCTTTTGGTGAACTAAGATTAAATTGGGTAGGATTTTGTGTGTTAGAACTTACAGCTGCTCAACTATAAGACTAAAGGCAGCTGTTAAGAGTGGCAATTACCCAGTTCTTCACTTATTCCTGTTTCCTTTATTCTGTGTTGGTGGTCTGTGCCCATAGCCATATGCCTGTACACTCTCTTTCCAGGTACAAAAGACAGAACTCCTGGCAAACAGACATGCAGATTGCAAAGCAGTTTTTGTTTTAATGTAGAGTTCTGAAATTTTGCCTGGGTGTACAAACATTGTGTTAAATTCTAGATAAGCTCTGATCATTTGATTTTTCTCTTGATTTTTCCTCCTCTCATGCAAGTATTAGCTTTGTGGTTTACAGCCCTGGCTGTGCTTGCAGTGCTGGTGGACTAATACTGGTTCTGACATCCTGAGATTTCTACAGTCTGGTAATTTTTGAAATGCCTAGTCCTTCTTAAGAAGCAAACCAGCAAAATCCACAGTAGTGTAACTGCCTGAAGCTGTTAGTGATAACACATTCAGTACAAGTCAGATGCTGCTTTCAAGGCAACTGTAGTGATACCTGGGCAGTGATAAAAGCGTATTCAGATATGAGGAAGCCAGTATTCATTTTTAGGCAATTTTCAACTACTCTTAGGACATTTTAGTGTTGAAAGATCACAGGGTTTTTAATCAGGACTATCAAACTAGTCAGTATCAGGACTACCAGCCCTTTGCCCTTGCGTACCACTATCCCAGCCTGTACATCTGCTATAAATTATAAATTTACTTGGTTTTAATGAGTAGCTCAAAATGAAGCAGTTGGGCAGGCAGCCACAGAACCTACTAAAGCTTTATGTAAGTGTCTTTATCATAGAGGTAGCTGTATAAACGAATGTGTGTCTGTATTTACTTACATCTTTCCAGGGCCCATATTCTTTATTCTTTGTATGCATTTTAAATAAGTGAAGTGTGCAGAAATCAGACTTTTTGAGAATGGCATAGAATGATCTTTGTATTCATAATTCTTTGATGTCTCAAACAGGTGATGGACCCCAGTGTAGAGATTACGTTATTAGTCTTGGAGTAGTGAAACCACTGCTGTCCTTCATCAGCCCATCTATTCCCATAACTTTCTTAAGAAATGTTACATGGGTCATGGTCAACTTGTGCCGCCACAAAGATCCTCCTCCGCCAATGGAAACTATTCAGGAGGTGACTGAATTACTCACTGTTCAGTGTAACTAAACTGAAGTTGAGTATTTGTCTGCCTTAAAAATAACTGTCAGATGCTTCTTTCCCTCCTTAGATCCTTCCAGCGCTCTGTGTTTTAATTCACCACACAGATGTAAATGTAAGTAATGCCACTTAGAGCCAGTTTTGCACTCTTATATTTTTTTTTTTTTTTTACTGAAGTATAAAGCTTGCCATAATTAACCTTTTTCCTAAAAAAGAAAAAACTAAAAATAATCAGTGAAGTTCTCTTCCATTATAGCAAACTTATTTTGGTATCTTTGAACTGCTTATTTTTAAGTATCATGATTTTTGCCTAGTGTTTCTATGTGTCTTTGCAAGTGCTTATTTGCATGTACTTTCCCTGCACTTAAAAATAAAATGCAGTTTCAGTTGTATTTCTGTGAACATTCATTTACAGATAAATACAGGATTTTTTTTTGCCTAGCACTTAAGGTTGAATTTGTAATGAAAATCAGTGTAAATTAAAGAAAAATTAATGTCTGCTGCGTATATAAAACGTTAGCTTTAGATGCAACTTCAGAGTAGTTAAATATGAACATTAGGTTATTTTAATAGTGAAGTAAATGAATGAAACTTTACTGAAATTATGGAATAGATCAGTGTTCTGCCTAAACATAAGTCAGAATTGTTGAGGATTCTTTGCTTCCTAGTGAAGCTGTAGCTCAGTTGTCAAAGTTAATGGCAACAATGCTTTACCAAAGTAAGTTTAAATACATTAAAGTTTGGCTAGTAATTATACTATTTGATTTCTGGTATACAAGTAGGTGAGGTTAATCTTACTTGATTTTTTGAAAGGGCTGTATTTGTGAATCAGTTGAGTTGCCAGCTGAAACAATGCTTGCTCAATTTTTGTGTAAGCTGTCACTTGAAATGTTCAGATTTGCTGCCAGGGCAATTGGCTTTTCTCTGTGCGAATACACATGTGTGCACACACAGAGGAAATTCATTGTAATTGCTGCTGCACCACATGTTAAAAAATATTAAAAGCTTTTCTTAAACTTTGCAGTGGAAGAAGAAATTAACTTGATGCCATTGATGTACAGTTTGTTGGTTTGAGAATGCCAAATGCCCATAATTTAATATTGCTAGGGTTTTATCTTCCTTCCAGGGGTGTCTTTCATATCTCACGTTGTCTACCAGTATTTCATGAAAAGAGCAGATATAATTGAATTGCTTTCATTATATCCTTCAGAATTTAAGCCACAGTTAGCAGTTTAGGTGTTGGTTAGTGTTGGATTTTTAATATCTGTATTTTTGGGGGCTAGAATAGGTTGAACAGCAAGCAGTTGCATTTTGGATTTCTGTAGAGTGGAATTTATGAAGTTTGTAAAACAAGGTGAGGTTTTACTGTATAGCATCAACTCTGGCTTCACAATGAGAGTTCTTTTACATTTTAATGCACCTTATTTTCTTGTAAGACTTGAGATATTTCAGCACTATTTACAAATAATTTTTTACTGTTAGATATTGGTAGACACAGTCTGGGCACTCTCATATCTAACGGATGCTGGCAATGAACAGATCCAGATGGTGATTGACTCTGGAATAGTCCTTCATTTGGTTCCTCTTCTCAGTCATCAAGAAGTCAAAGTGCAAGTAAGTTTGAATAACTTTAAGGAAGTGTTGCTCAAAATGTACTATAAGAGAAAGTAGCTGGTTTTGGTTTATAGTTCATGTTGAAGTTTTAAAAGTACTTTTTCCTGTGTGAAATAGCATTTGCATAAAACATTCTCATTTTTTTCAGTGTTACTGTTTAAAAGTATGTGCTCAACTAGAAAAATCTTTGATTAAAAGAACTGTCTTTAAAGAAAGTGTTATGTTTCAGACTGCTGCGCTGAGAGCTGTGGGAAACATTGTCACTGGTACTGATGAACAGACACAGGTAGTTCTGAATTGTGAAGCTCTTTCACATTTTCCAGCACTTCTGACACATCCCAAAGAAAAAATTAATAAGGTAAGTAATTGTAGAGATTTCACCCTGCAGCTAACTGTATTTGGCCTGGCTGGTTTGGATTCCACATAATGTAGTGTGATAGAGATTTGAGTAACTGACTACTTACACCAGGCAGGATGATGAAATTTTTCTTGAAGTTAACACCCATAGAAAAATCTCTAAGGAGCTGCAAACTTGTACTTGACAAGAATGTCATTTCCTGATTCTTCTAACTGAATTTTTTTGAAATCAAAGCTTTATCTTATATTTCCAGCTGTTCTCATAAAAGTTCTTGATATGTGAAATGTCACTAATTAAACTGACTCTCTTGGAAGTGATGAAATAGAGATAATTGGATGTCTCTTTGAATGGAGAGTGTGTGTGATAAATGGAATTCAATTCAGGTCAGGCTAGGGGTGGGGTGTGGGGAATATGTGTGTGTGTGCATGTATGGAAAAGGCTTTCAATGGGGGCACTGATACTGCTGTGCTGATTCCGGAGTGCATCTGAGGCGTGTTGTTAACATCTGGGGTGCCAATTCACAACATTGCCAATGATTAAAGCCCAAAACAAGCCCACCAAGACAAGCCTAAGCATCCTAAATCTCTAACAGGTTCATTAATGAACGTGATCCTGTGATCTGATCTGAGAGACGCAGTTCAATAAAATGTGAGAATTTCTGAATCTCTTGTCGAAAGAAATATTTATCTAAAAAATTGTTGTGCCAGGCAAGTTGAGAGGAGAAAAGAATTGAGTAGGAGTGATGGAGGGTTTCTGGGAAGGGAGAAATTTATCAACTGTAAGATTGAAAGAAGTCGATACTTTGAATATACTTAAAATTGTATGTGAAACTGTGTTTGTTATTTCTTGACTAAAGTATAAATTCCCCTTTAAAAGGGAAGTGGGGGACTCTCCATTCTTATTTAATGTAAGAATCCGGGTACAGTCTTTGGCTTAGTTCAAAATTTCAACTGTTGAGGACTGGGAGGGCCCACTGGGTGAAAAAGATACCTTTACACACTCTGCTTAGCATCTGCTGTTGGTTATTGCTGGAAGGGGAGAGTCCTGGACCTTACAAACAGAAAAGAGGGGTCACAAAGTATCATATAACCTTACAGTATTCTTGAAAAGCAAGTGTTTAGGTAATACATGTTGTGTTTTGATTTGATGCTATGAAGAGAAACATTCAGCAGGTAAAGAACACATTGTCTTCTATTGCTCTCATGTCTGGAAAACATGATGCTCTGATGCCTTTCAAAGCTTTATCTGTCAGCTGGAAACTGCTAGAGTATGCCTTCTCAGTCATGGGATCAGTTATGTGCACTTGTAGCCGCGTGATGTTTTTTTCTCCAGATAATTTTTCCTTTAATCTGTGGATTTGGAGTACTTCGTTTTAACTCGGTAACAGTGAAAGACTGAAGAGCCTTGTGGAGTCTCCTAAGGCGAGACTATCCACTTCGTTTGTTGCCTGTATGCTTAGTCTGTTAACTTGGAGTTCAGTACAATCAAACCAATACAGTATTTGATTGCGATTAAGATTGGCTAGTGTATGAATTGCAGAACTGAAAATGTGCGTGTATAATGTTGTGCTGGAGCGTAAATAAAAGGAGGTATAGAAGACTATCCGAATTAATAGTTTCTCACATTTTTGTTTTGCAGGAAGCAGTGTGGTTCCTATCTAACATCACTGCAGGAAATCAGCAGCAAGTTCAGGCAGTGATAGATGCAAACCTTGTTCCAATGATAATACATCTTCTAGATAAGGTTAGATAACATGAAGGTTTTAACAGTTTATTTTCTTAATTGGGGAAAGTGACATGGAATTCCTTCATGCTTTACATTGTACTGTAAATGTGGTGGGCAGGGGGTGGACTATGTTCTTGAGCAATTTTCATATATTGCAAGATAAAATACATTACTGCTGATACTCTTTTGTGAAGTGCTGAGATGATGAGTGCCAGATGTATTGGGGAAAGGGAGCAGAGCAGGGAATCTTGGGTCCTTCTAAATCTCATTTAAATTCTTCTTCTTGTTCTGTAAACAATGGGGATAAAATCTTTACTCCCAGATGTGGCATGAAGAGGTCTGGAGAGGAACAGCACTCAGTTCCTAGCATTTTGCCAAAGCTTGAGGACTTCTTCCCTTTTTTTCCACGTATTATCTGGAAACATGAGAAAGTGCTCAACAGCAGTATTTAGTAACTTAGTGCTACTGCATTTATCTAGTCTGAGTATTCCAAGGCAAGATCTGTGACACAAGATTACAGACTGGATTTGTCCCGTCTGGTTGGGGTGGTTTTTTTGGCTTGTTTTTTGTTGGGGTTTTTTTTGTTTCTTTTTTTTTAAAAAACAAAACTGCATCACCAAAAAATAGGTGGCCATAGAAAATAAGCTTTTGTGTGTTCAGTTTCTCCTACAGAAAAGCCATGCTCTGTATAAGCGTATGGATATATGCTGCTTTTGTGTAATAGATAAAACTTGTTAAGATGACTGCTTCTATTTCCTTTTCTCTTTAAGTCAAGTAGTAACTCACAAGCACTTCTGAATGCTCTTCTCGTGTTTTCAAGCCTCTCATTGCTTGTTGAATGCAAGAGATTGAGTGCTGAGGGGTCACGTCAGTTGGGACTTCAAATACCTGTATTCCTATTCAGTTGTTGGGTGTTAGTGTCTTTTAAAACAGTAGTTTCCAAGCCACTTTATGATGCCAGTAATCTGCCTTGTGAGAAATGAGGATAGCTAATAGCATGTTTTCAAATGGGAGCAGTACAACATTTTTATGCTTTAAACACTTCCTACATTTTGCTTTATTCTTTATTTTTCTTCCCTGAAGTGTGGAGGGAAGACAGAAATACAAAACGATATGTTCAGCCATGACAGAGATGAAATACCTTGCTTCAGTGTAGAGGCTGGGGTAGAAACTGAAGAAATACTTTTCTCTTAAGTAACATACAGCTGTTCACAGATAGTTCTGTTAACTGTTAATTCATTGATCACTGAGAAAAACAGTTGGAGACGTTTCTCTTGAAATTTAGTAAGCAGACTCGAGTAACTTCAGACGCAGACACTGTCACAGTATGTACAGTGGTTTATCAAAATTGACACTGGCTGCTTATCTCACTGTAATATGTGACAGCTGTTGATAAGGAATGCAAGAGAGTGGAACACTACAGAGTTGGTTTTTGGTTTGTTTTTATTTTTTTTATTTTGACGCAAACGTATTTTCCTTCCTCTGCAAAATTAAGTTAAAAATATGGTTTCAGGGAAGGAATGAACGCTGTGAGTAGACTCAAATATCTACAGGATTTGTTAGTTACTTTCCCTGCTTACTGAGAGCTGATATGGTGATACCATGCAGAATGAACTGCAACAAATGGAGGCTTTTAGTAAAATACTGCATCATTAAAAACTGAATAATTATTCGTGGTTGCATTTTTAGGGTGACTTTGGTACTCAGAAAGAAGCTGCTTGGGCAATAAGCAACTTAACAATCAGCGGAAGAAAAGACCAAGTAAGTAAAACCTTAAGAAAAGGTCCATCATCTTTCCTGGATGCATTTGAGAGAGTACATGACCTGGTACACGATACATGAGCTGAGTACACAGCTATTGGTTGGGTGGAGAAGAGATTCAGAGCAGCCCTGTGGAGAAGGACTTGGAGGTGTTGGTTGATGAGAAGCTTGACATGGGCCAGCTTCAGTGTGCGCTTGAGCCCAGAAACCAACCGTATCCTGGGCTGCATCAAAAGAAGCATGACCAGCAGGTCAAAGGAGGTGATCCTGCCCCTCTACTCTGCTCTTGTGAGACCTCACTTGAAGTATTTAGTACAGTTCTGATGTCCTCAACATAGGAAGGACATGAAGCTGTTGGAGCAAGTCCAGAGGAGGGCCACGAGGATGATAAGAGGGCTGGAGCACCTCCCATATGAAGACAGGCTGAGGAAATTGGGGCTGTTCCACCTGGAGAAGGCTGCGTGGAGACCTCATAGCAGCCTTCCAGTATGTCCTGGGTTCAGCTACAGCAGTCGTTTTTTCTCCTTCCTTACAGCTGGTGCAGTGCTGTGTTTTCAACTTTCAGCCTGGGAACAACACTGATAACACTGATAACATGCTGTAGCTGAACCCAGGACACAGTATCTTAAAGGGGCCTACAAGGATGCTGGGGAAGGACTCTTTGTTAGGGACTGTAGTGATAGGACAGGGGGGTAACAGGTTCAAACTTAAACAGGGAAAGTTTAGATTAGATATAAGGAAGAAGTTCTTTACTGTGAGAGGGTGGTGAGGCACTGAAACAGGTTGCCCAAACAAGTGATAAACGCTCCATCCCTGGCAGTGTTCAAGGCCAGGTTGAACCACCATGGTTGAGTGTGTGGTGTCCCTGCCTGTGGCAGGTGGGTTGGAACTAGATGATCTTAAGGTCTTTTCCAACTCTTAAGTGTTCTATGATTCTGTGATTGCTTTAGACTACTTCTGTGCCAGGATTGTGGCTCTCTGTATTCCTCCACTGTTCAGTCACTCTCTTCCCTTTTCCACAAGGGATTTAAGAGTGAACTTCAGTTATTGTTACTGGAATGACCCAAGATTAGGAGTATTGATGGGGATTTGGATGGAAGCTCTTCGTGTTAGGATGGCCTAGGAGCTATGAATGACTGCATTCAGGCTCTGATGAGATTCTTCATAGAATCATGGAATGGTTTGGGTTGGAAGGGATCTTAAAGATGCTCAAGTTCCAACCTCCCTGCAGTGGACAGGGACACCTTCCACTAGACGAGGTTGCTCCAAGCCCTGTCCAGCCTGGCCTTGAACACTGCCAGGGGCGGGGCACGCCA